TCCAGATAGGCATAGTGCAGGAGGAGCTGAGAGTTCTACATCTTCATCTGAAGGCTGCTGGGAGAAGACAGGCTTCTGGGCACACCTCCAAATGGTGCCACTCTCTGGGCCAGCATATGCAAAACATCACAATGAAAGACAGATAGATGATAAATACATAGAGATAGATAGATAGATAGATAGATAGATAGATAGATAGATAGATAGATAGAGTGATGGTTTGTATATGCTCGGCCCATAAAGTGGCACTATTAGAAGGTGTGGCCATGTTGGAGTGGGTGTGTCACTGTGGGTGTGGGCTTTAAGACCCTCATCCCAGCTGCCTGGAAGCCAGCCTTCTCCTAGATGTTGAACTCTCAGCTCCTCCTGCACCATGCCTGCCTAGATGCTGCCATGTTCCTGCTTTAATGATAATGGACTGAATCTCTGAACCTGTAAGCCAGCCCCAGTTAAATGTTGTCCTTGCAAGAGTTGCCTCAGTCATGGTGTTCACATCAGTAAAACCATAACTTAGAAAGACAGACAGATAGAAAGGTAGTGGATGGATGAATGGATGATGGAAGGGTGGATGTGTGGAATGGATGCATGGAAGAGTTGTTGGTAGGTAAACGGGTTAATTCATGATGGATGGATGGAAGGATAGATGGAGGATGGATGGATGGATGGATGGATGGATGGGTGGATGGATAAATGGGTGGGTGGGTGGATGGATAGGTGGGTGGGTGGATGGATGGATGGATATAGAGGTCATATGTCTTAAGGCCCTATATCATTTCCATGACCCTAAACTCTTTGAAGAAACAAATCATGTCATGTTCCCTACTGTGTTCTGTTGAGGTTGGGGGTCACTGTGAGCTCAGGACTTAACTGTTCAAAGAGTGAGGTCCAAACACATTCAGCCTATAGACAAGGACATCCGAGTCCAAAGAAGGATAAGACAGCTTCACATGGTAAGTCTCCCGTTGCCACTTCTGTGCACCTCTGACCTGGAGGGCAGACCATGACTCTTGGATTATCTTTGTTTTCTGGCTGGAGCTGGTGGGTAGGTTGCTGATGCCCTAACTGTGGTAACATCTGGTGGTCACCGGGATGCCCAGCCTCTGACTTAAATCCTTGCATCTCCAAGAACTTGAGGCTGAGAGGCAGAAGCCTCAACTGTACCACCTGTGGATGGAACAGCATCACTCATAGGCTGCTGTCCCAGGTTCCTTCAGCTGTAGGGGCCAGTGGGATGACTCTGCAGGTAAAGGTGCTTACTGCCAAGCCAGTCGGCCTGAGTTTGATCACTGTGATGTGCACAACATAAGGAGGGAACCAACATGAGCACTGTCATATCCTGCCTCTAAACACGTACAATAATTTTTTAATTACATTGAAAAGTCAGCTCTAGACAGAGGAGAAAGTCTCATTCTGTTTCCTTCAGGCTCCCTGTAGATGGACTCCGGTCACTGGAGCCTGGCCAGATGTGTGTTGGGGTTATAAAGCCTCACTCAGCTTTCTGGGCACCTGTTCCATTGCGGTGATTTTCTCAGGTGACTAGTCTTTTCAAAGACTCAGAAATACCGGAGCAGCCTGAGACAGTGGAGGGCGGGGCTGTGGGGCTCCATTTCCCAGGCTCCTGATCTAGAATTACACCTCTGAGATCAGCTGACCCTTGGGAGGTGTGGGCTCTGGTGAAAGACCAAAAACAAGCCCTTTGTCACCCAAGAGATGATTCCTCATGGGCTGGCTAGCAGCCTCAGAGAGCCTTCTAATCCCAGAGTGGAAAACTCCCTCTGCTTGGCCATGCCCTTCTACCCAGGGTGATCTTTCTCCACCAACCTCCACCTGCCCAGATAGAGGAACATCCCCCAAGCCTGGCTGCTCTGTGCCACGCCTAATGCTGGGATTTATGTGTTCCCTATAAACATGAAGAAACATGGCCATCTTGCCCAGGATCCCAGGTGAGGATTGGAATTCCTTACCACATTTAAGCTGCTAACAGAGGTTTCAGAACCTCAGAGTCCTGCTACAGCAGCCCCAGGCCATTTGCCATTGTTGGGGACCCCTGGAGACAGCTCAAGTGGGTTCGGCACTTCCACCAGCACCAGGAGAAGTGGACATTCCTTCCAGCCTGGCAGAAGTACGTCCATTGTTACTTAGGTAAGGCTCTACTTTAAACCCCTTGCCTTTTGGTTTTTAATTTAATCTTTAGAAAACTGGTCTTGATTGCCTGTCGCGATAGGGATATGCCCCTCAAAGCTCCCTGCTGGAAACTTAACCCGCAGATTCCTGTTTTGATGGTGTCTGGAGGTGAGGTCTTTGGGAGGTCAAGGTGGGGTAGGTGTGGTCAGGAGTGTGGGTCCCTAAGACAGTTAGTGGCTTTGTAAGAAGTGAAGAAGAGGGCTGGGAGATGCTCAGTCAGTAGGTGCTTGCATCACAGGCCTGAGGACATGAGTTGCCCTTCCCCCCCCCCAAAAAAAACATGGAAAACACCCAGGAGGTGCTGAGTGTGGGCGCTGGCCTTTAATCCCAGCACTCAAGGGCAGAGGCAGGACCATCGCTGAGTTGAGGCTAGCCTTGTCTGTGTATGGAGCCCAGGACAGTCAGACTCTGTCTCAAAAGCCAAACAGACAAAAGCCAAGCTCAGTGCATGCGTGTAATCCCAGCACCGAGGTGAAATGAGTGTACCCTCAGACTCAATGGTCAGTCGGCCTAATAAACAAACACCAGGTCCCAATGAGAGACTCTGCCTCAAGAAACAAGATGGCTGCTCCTGAGGAAGCACACCTGAAGTTGACCTCTGACCTCTGTGTGCATGTGCCGTCATGTTCATGAATGGACACACATACATATACACACATGCACACCATGGAACACTGGGCAAGAAGGGGGACAAAGAGGGACATCTTGCCAGATGACAGATAGACGTTGGGAGATGTTGTCTCCCAACACCATGAACCAAATGAACTTTGTTCTTTATAAATGACTCAGTCTGCAATATTGTGTTATAGCAACGGAAATGGCCTGAGACAATGCCAAAGTCTAGCAGGATCCAAGGGTCATGGCTCCGTATTGTCAGGAGCCATCTAGGAGAGGCTAAGGCTAGTATATGACTTTCCTGGAGATAGCCCTCTGTTTGGGTACGGTCTGTGATGGGTAAAATTCTGAGTTGCAAGGCCTTCAGAAATCTCAACTCGGGATTGATTATTTTTATTGCTGATATGTCTTCTCTGTCATTATCGAGTTAGTCTAAAGATTCCTGGGCTTTAGTCTACCCTATCGGGCAGATTTTCTGCAGCTCAAGGAAGATGTACTCTCTTGTAGTAATGCTATGTCTACAAATGGATAGTTTTATAACTCCTAAAGGATTCTACAGAATTTCTAAATGTATACAGGTGATTTTGAGCCCTTTAGAGTATAAAATCTGCAACTAAGGGTCTGTGAACTTTTGTACGTCACAGGCTAATTGTGCTAGGATAGAAACCAGGCTTGAAACAAAGTTGCAATAAGTGATTGCACTAGGATGGAAGGCAGGCTTGAAACAAAGTTGCAATCAGGAAAAACATTCCTTCTAAGTGAGCTGTGAAACTATCATCTGATAACTCAAGGTCATAAACTGGGACAGGACAATTTACTGTAGGTATAAGGATAAAAGATAAAATATTGAATGGATTTATCTATATAAAACTTCAAAACTAATGAGACACTAGACAGATGATTTGCCCCTTGACAAAACAGTGCTAACTTATGATATAAGAATTATTGTCTTAAACTTTTAATGAACTTGTGTAGCTAGTGACAGATAATGCATGTTTAATTAGATTAATAGTCCTAATGGAAACTCTTGTAACATTCCTGCTGAAACTTCTTATTTGATTTATGATGAACTTTAGGAATGTAAAGACGCTTGGAAGACCATGTGATCTATTCTCCTGAGAAAGTATAAGTACCAAGAACAACAGGAGAGTGGCTTTTTTCTTACAAGGTTTCTTTCATTCAGCAAAAAAGGTAGAAGCTTTTTCTTTCTCTGAGCAATAAAGGTTGGGGCTTATTTTTCATCCAGAATGGGTGATTTTTTTTTTTCTGTGTCGGTGTTTGCTCAATGAATGAAACCTGCTCTTGGGGGCTTTTGCTCCATCCACCAAATAGTGTGTGTGTGTGTGTGTGTGTGTGTGTGTAAGTATAGTTGTGTGTATATAAGTTTGCATGAATACTTGTGGAATAGATGAGACAGGTAATCCGGCCTGACCAAAATGTGTGTGTGTATATGTGTGTGTGTCAATGTATGTGTGTCTCTGTATATTTGCATGTGTAAGTTTTTCAAAAGAAAAGTTTTTCTTTCTGTGAGCATGACTTCCTTTTCCTGGTTCACAAAGAGTTAAAGTCCCAAGCCTCCTTTGAGCCT